TTCGGTTAAGCTTTTGTTTAAGTAATATTCCGGCTCTTTCATCAGGGTTTTGTTTATGTCCCCAATTCCCTAATCGCTTAATTATTTAACTACTTCTTAAGTAGAAATAAGTCGAAACCGGTTACTACGTACTCGAATATTTGTAGTCTCGGGAAAAAGTGGAAAGACAAATTTTTATGACAAACGGATACATCAATCGTAAATGTAAAGAAAATAAATTCTAGAGCCTTTTCTGTGCCTCTTGCATCTCTCTCATTCATTAAATTTAGTTGTAAATGAGGCTGCCGAAGTAACGGTTAATTTTTTAACATTATACAAGAATTGTACACGTTTTTTTCTACATCCCCTTAAAGACGGGATGTACGAAATTGTAATATCACTGGTTTAACATCGAAATCCGTGAGTAATATAAAATCGGAGAGGGAATAAATATATCAAATATTTTAACGGATTTTTTTAACTCCCGTCAACTATACAGAACTATCGTAAAAACATATCAGTAAATTATTATCGGTTGGGTTAAGTTATAAATCTACTCGTTATTCACGCAATCGGCCAAATATCTAGCGGGCGGGCGGCTAACGGCCCAGAACCGTTCCCGGATAGAATTGGAAGCGTTATATGTGTAGCATCAACCCGAGGTTGTAGGCTTTAGGCTTCCACCGGCTAAACCGGGTGAGGTTGGTGCTCTGTAAAGCGCTTGCGCGAATTTGGATGCTGACAATACGGTGGTTCCACTCCGCCACTAATATTCGANTACATACACGCGATACTCAAATTCTTCCTACACTCGCTGTCACTCCTCCCAAAGAAGCCACAAGTCTACAGCTCCTGCAGATTATTTATGTTGCACAATGATGAGTGATTCCTATTTTGCGAACTGCAGAACAGATAACTCTATCGATTGTATACATCAAGGTAATAGTCAGATAATAATTAACCTAATTCGTTTTGTTTTTTAATTTACTGAAAACTCATAAAAGTTAAGAGGAAACAGTGTAATAAAGATTTTATTTAAAATGTTTGGTCGAAGTTTTATTGTTTAAAAATATTCAAAACTTTCGTGTTTACTTTTGCAACTTCCATATATTTCAGTTTTAAATGAAATACTGCATGCATATATGAAATAAAAACAAAATATAAAAACGAACAAACGTTTAAAAACGAAGTACGAATTTTGGGATATGAATGAATAATTACTGTAATTGAAACAGGAAAACTCTTTGCAATTTTCACTTCGATCCGTTAGAAAGTGTCCATTTTATAATTTTATTTTTAAAAGTCGATGCTATTCTGTTCCTATGAGAGCTTTTTTCAGACAAATCTAGCTATTTGAAAGTTTATTTTTAATCTTTTCGCCCTACAGGATCTTAATTAAAAGGCCTCGTTTAGCAAACCCATTACTGGGTTTGGTCAGGCCTACAACGGGGAAGGCCAGTTGGTGAGGGACGGGGCCCGACACATCCGGACGGACCACTCCCAAAAACTTCCTAGGAAATTTTCGATCCGTCTGGATTCGATTCCGGGTCAACCAGAGTTGTAGGATGCCATCTTGACAGCTCGGTTATCCGGCCTCAGTATTAGACAGGGCGTGCCGTGACATTTGATGATAGGGAAGCTGTGTTTCTGTAAGAAGCCGACATCCAGGGGCAATCGGTCAATCGCGCGTCAGTGATGGTCTAGGGTCCATTCGTATCGTTTATTCGTTAAGCCAGTAAA